ACGCGCTGCCCAGATTCAGACCACCCAACAATATCCGGCTCGCATGCACCAGCTAGAAGTTGAATGGCGGCAAACACATGAAGCACTGAGTTTTCCGGAGCTTCTCTCTTCACAGCCACTCGGGTGCCAGAGAGAAGTACAGGGTTGATTTCAAGTTTTTAAGGTGACATAATGGAGAAACGGAAGGACGGACGGACACGCAAACAACCAATGAGTGTGGCTGATTCGCAACGAGTCGTTCCGCTTCCAATGTGCAACTGTGCTCGCGTCTGAACCTAATAAGTATCCAAGCAGGATACTCCGACGGCAAATACACATTTTGCACTGTAAGGAAACACCACCGCTTTAAAGTATCAACTGCAAGTAGCCACTCCTGTCTGACAGAGAACAGATCGTAAAAATGAAATTACATAAGACGAATGAAGCAGGAGTCACAAAAGAGATCTACGGAGTCCATCCCAATTCCTCGCACCAGTTTACACAATCCATGAACCGTCGGATAACGATGGTATCGCATAAGTCATGTTGGACATGGCACCTGGGACCAGCTAATAAGTAGTGAGAAAGGAAATCGGCTTCGGCAACTCTGTGTAGAGTTGACTATGGATAGCTGTGAACAGCCACTGGATACCTTCGCCAAGGAAGGACATCGATGTATTGTACTACCTCACCCAAATCCCCTTGAGCAACTACTTAAAACTTGTGGATAAGATAACGACTTGTTTACAGTCTGCCTATATGCCGTCAGTAAGTATCAATAACTGCAAAATGACAGTGTCGCAATGGGCCAAATGCTTAAAATGAACTCATTTGGGTGCATACGGTTTTTTGACTTGGTTTGGTTCGAATACATTAAAATCGTGGCAGTCCACATGGAACGTGTTATACCGTACAGCAGAAAGTTAAACAAACAGTTCGTGGGTAGCTGACACTTGCGAGATAACTGACTGACGAGGATGCCCAGGTGACAGTGACAAGTGACAGAGTCGCGGACTTGGACTACGCCGATGATTTCGTTTTGCTCGGGGACGATCCACAAGCCAGCTAGAGCGCTCTGAACCGCTTAGCGATGGAAGCATCTAAGTATGGACTGTATTTCAGGCCAGTAAAATGTAAAGTACTACTCCAGGATTGGCAGATGCCTGTGCCTGCCATCACCATTGCTGGTGATATCCTGGAACAAGTCCAATGCTCCATTTAGCTAGGGAGTTGAAGCATAGCTGGCGGCTGTTTTGGAGATGAGGTCTCACAACGTATCGCAAAAGCCCGCCTTACATCCGTCAGACTGAGACAATTATGTCGCCGTCGCGACATCAGTCGCAAATTAAAGGACAGGGTATACATTGTCTCTGTCTGTTTGTACGGTCCTCTTGTACGGTTGTGAGGCTTGGCCGACTCGCTCGGAAAACATAAAATGATTGTTAGTTTTTGACCATCGTTGTCTGCTTAGATTACTCACATATGGTGGCAGCGTCACGTGAGTAACGCAGAAGTCCGAGAGCAAGTGTCTGGAGCAAACAGCCCATGCCTCCAAACGGTTATTCTCCAACACCATATGCATTGGCTCGGCCACGTGTTGCGTATGCCAGCCTATCGTCTTACCTGTCGAGCGTTATGTGCGCTCCCCGGGAGCGATTGGACAAAATGCTGCGGTGGACAACCAATGACGTGGAAAAGGAGCATGAAGAATGCAACCTCACACTAAGCATCCGTTGGACCGGTCCGCCATCCAAGATGGGGACCATGCGACTTGCACTGCCAGTAGTTGGAAAAGCTGGAGGCTATGACGAGGGACAGGCATTAGTGGAGACAGTGATGTTCATCCCTGTTATCCATTAGTTAATGTCTCAGTGAACGTAAAACTCCAAAACACAAAAAATCAAAACGGCGTGTGTAAAACCGAAAAAATCGTTTTCTTCGCATGTTGTATTTCGTTTCCCACCTTTATTTCTCCATGGTTCTGATGGCACATTACCTGTAATCTGATTGTGAATATATATATATATATATATATATATATATATATATATATAATATGGTGCTGTAGCACATCCGGTCGCGAGTGCCTGAGTCAGGCAGGCCTAGTAAGCCATAAGCGAGGCCACTCGGGACCACTACCGAAGCGCCGACGGGTTCTGCAGAGAACGTAGGCAGAACCGGCGCAACGTTTGTAGGTACGCTGCATTCGATTTACTAACCGCGTGCTTGCATGCTAAGTCTCTTTATTTCAGGTGGTGGGTTTCCAATTTTGCCCTAATGCTTTTCTTTCCCATATAAATGCCTAGTTATACTCTCTTCTATACACTTGCACACGTCGCTTAAGCCACTTGTAGTTATTTCGATAACATTTTCGTGTTTGTAGCATTTCCGTAAAATAAACCTCCTGACCTCGTGAACTTACTTCGTATTCTTTTGTAAACGTATTCTTTTGTAAACAACTTATTTCATATTTCACTAATTTAAGATTTATGTCACCGTTTGCTTGCGTGTTAAGTTTGTTTTTTTCAGGTGGTGGGTTTTCAATTTTGTCCCAATGCTTTGCTTTCTCGTATAAATGTCTACCCGTACTTTCTTCTATAAACTTGCACACGTCACTTAAGCCAATTCTAGTCCTTTCCGAAAACATTTTGTGTTCGTGGCATTTTCGTAAAGTTTGCCTTCTGACCTCGTGAACTTATCTCGCATTCTTCTGTAAACAACTTACTTCAGATGCTCATTACTTTAAGAGATATGTCACCCCTTCCTAGTGAGTCATGAGCGAGGCCACTCGGGACCACTACAGAAAGGAAGACGGGTCCTGCAGAGAAGGTAGACAGCACCGGCGCAGCGTTTGTAGGCACGCTGCATTCGATTTGCTAACCGCGTGCTTGCATGCGAAGTCTCTTTATTTCAGGTGGTGGATTTTCAATTTTGCCTAAATGTCTTTCTTTCCCATATAAATGTCTACCTGTACTCTATTCCATTAACTTGCACACTTCGCTTAAGCCAATTGTAGTCGATTTCCATAGCATTTTGTGTTCGAGGTATTCCGTAAAGTATACTTTCTGACCTCGCGAACTTATCTAGGATCCGTTTGTAAACAACTTATTACATATGCTCAGTAACTTAAGGTTTATGTCACCGTTTCCTTATGCATTAATCGAGTTATTTTCTTCTCTCTCTCTCTCTCAAATGATTGACTGTTGTTTGATATCCCCGGTGTGGCTGCGCTTGATGTGCATGTTGACAAGGTGCCTACCTGTCTATTAGCCGCTACCTCGTCCATACTGGCTCCAGGAAACAGTTGGTCCTTGCTGGAGGGGACGGGGTGCACGGTCCTTGTGGCCGTGTTAGGCTCGAAGAGTGGTTCCATGCACTCAGTATGGAGCGGACTACGGTCCAGCCACCGCCTTGTGTGCACTTGATTCCCCAAATACAGAGTGCTTGTGTTTGCCTGTGAAGGAGTGTGGGCCGGTTCCGTTGATGAAACGTGGTTCCCATCCGCATGCCTCCCGGTCTTATTCCTTCGGGTTTACACTGGATATGGGGTGTGTGGGTGGAGCTGTGGGTGGTGCAGCGCAAGCCACCTATGGTCCCTCTGTAGGCGCAGGCATCCTGTGGCTTGCCATAGTGACAGGCAAATCCGAAACCGGATGCCGCCAACCATATATATATATATATATATATATATATATATATATATATAATGCGGGAATAACCAAAGTACGTGGGCCGGTGAGTTGTATGCAACTCACTGCACCACGGAGACACTCTCTGAGACTAACATTGTCTCAACAGTGACGTAAAGAAATCTACGTGGCGGTAAGCGAGGTGATGGGATCAAGTGGAGATGAACTTCGTTGAATGATGTCCAGAAAAGTCTGACATATAATGCAGCAAAACTACTCATTTCAACACTACCCTATCATACGTGATCCGTGTGATTGACTCGGAGTTAAGAACACCACTTAAGCGGTTTTGTCGTCTCAATAAGCATTAGAGGTTCCTTTTATGCCTGTGTACTCCAAAAGTGATTAACCGGTTATATAAAAAGCCGACAGTGGTAATGTATCATTGTTATTTACTCATATGAACGCATCTGCCGGAGACGGGGCCTCAATGTGCCGCTGAGGAAATCACTTTCACTGCATTTAAAATAGGATCTATCCGAACACCCAACATTAATCCATCCAAGCACGCGCTGGTTGTATCTCTTACGGAATATAGTCCTATGAAGAGTTACTTTCTCTCCTCCTCCGGAGGATTTACATGGTTAGGTCTTGGAGACATTTAGGACTATAACCGTTGGAAACTCAATTTCAAGCTAAACTACATAAGTGCGAATTTTATAAGTCCTGAGGACAAATACCACATGCTTCTCAAAGGAACAAAAACTGGGGGTTGCATGGATTACTTCCATGAAGTTTTTCTACGAGACGATAACTGTATGGGATCGCCTAATCTCTTTTTTACTGGGAATTCGAAAAAACAACTGTTAATTTAACGCTTTGCACCGAACGTAAGTGAAGCGGAAGAATATATGTGAAACATCTCAAGGTCAACGCGGTCATCCATGATGGAAACGGTTCGTTTAAGTGGCGACGGTAGTGCTATGAAGAGGTTATTTCTGGTCGTGGATTGAAGTGGGGCAGAGTGAAACCCATGGACAATGTGTAAAGTGACCTACAGTTAGTATGCTTAAATTAAGACTGGCGTCCCTAACATATCACAACGAGAAACAGTTCGGCATTCGCACTGGTATGCAAAATCCAATTACGAGTTGAGACGATTATAACTAGTGAAGCAGGTTGATTTCATTGGAGAATAGTAGTTGTCACCGATGAGGGTCCAGTAGGTAAAACCGATGAACAGAAAATATCATTACCGCTTTAGCTGAATAACAGATAGAGTACTGGAGTGAATGACAGGAAAGTCATTCCCTTTAATACCGCTGTCGAAGCAGTTCGCAAAAGTAGACATTACGGACATTGTTACGTAACTGTGCGCCACTGCAAACTTACTGGCTGTGTTCTTCACCGAATTCCTCCAATTGTCGCAGATGGTTGATGGATGTTTGGTCTAATATCGATTTGGTTACAACGCGCTCCTCCGCGATGCATCTGCATAGGGAGTGAAAATACATGTGTACTGGCAAGCATAGTCATCGGGCGCATTGCAACGCACTGCATGGGGCAAATTATGTTGCGATATGTGGGTGTACCGAATGGCAGTCTTTGGAGGTAGACAAAAACTGTGACGTGTTGCATTGCCGATATAACTGCGCCAAAGCAGCAATCCCGCTGGGCGTGTAGGGGTGCAGAAATAAGAGGATTTAGGGAGGCTAATCGCAGAGACAGTCGGTGGCGCGATCGACCCAGAAATGCATCATAGATAAACCGGTTTTTCACTAAGTCCATCACAAACTATTGTACCTTGGATGGAGAATGCTTTGTCGAACCAAACGATGAAATATCACACCTCGCTTATGGCTGATTGAGCGACATTAGAAGTAAAGTCATCATTAATGGTAGCTAATTAGCCCGTTGGCGATATAAGACCATAATGAAGGATAGCAAGATAGACCCGGTGCCATGAATAGTAGATGCTAAACCAATTAGAGGGCAAGGGACATGATCGCACTATTTGAAGGCAGCCGAAGGTAGGGTAGGGGATACTAGTTTTACAGCTACGCTAATGACTGTACGTCGGAAATCGCGCACTGTGCATCCTAACATTGACACACAGAGCAATACTTCGTTATTTCCACAGGCGAATAAGACAGCAAAGAGCAGTGTGAGCACGCTCAAACAACATCACAAGATCGGTTGAGATAACTAACATAGGTGAGGCAACCACCTAGAGTTGTGGAACGATCCAATTTAGCGGTTGGTGGGCGGAACGGTTGACCAGGGAGAGCAAACGCTCAGTTCTACCACAGTGCATTACACTTTGAACAGACGAGGTACGTACCCGGCGTCACGGAATCGTGCGTCCACGCGTTCGGCGATGTTTGTATAAACAGACCTTACATCTTAGCCACAGTAAAACGTGGCGGTAGGAAACTGGTATGACGTGACAGTATGAAAGTCAAACTACACACATCCCAGTGATAAGCTATCCGAAGATCCGTGACACAAGACGAAACGCATGCATTTATTAACACTTGGTAGCCTACTGATGTTTATAGAAAGGATGTAGATGTCGCAGACTACTTAAAACGCGACTATGTAGTACGTACCAAATCCCGTCCCCCTACTTAGTAGTGCTACCAAACTGAGTGGGTATTGAACAGTAGCCACTTCTGATCCGCGCACATATCCGAGAAGCTACCGGGCCGCACAGACATTTCCAAATGTATAGGGGTGAAGGTATTCAAATATGAGACGCTTGTGGGTCCCTAGGCCGATGGTATAATCAGTGTCATATGGAACTACAACGGGACAGAGAAATGAGGTGAATGAAAAATGATGGTTGCCAATCGAGGAATATTCACTCACCTCAATTCTACTGGGTGGCTTCGTTCTTCCCCAAGAGCGTTTGACGCTACACATACGTAGTGACCGCTATCTTCGGCTAGACAATAACCGATCTCCAAAACAACGAAACCACGATCCACCACGGCATTGAAACGGCTTCCTGAATGGTGAAAATAGATAGAAGCGAAGAGTTCAAACTTAACCCAAAACCGTCGCAAACCACCACTCGTCCAAAAAGTACATGGGCATATTTCCCAACGTACACAAATAGACGTCAATTTTGTCAATGGCAGCATCGCTTTGACAAACAAGAACAGTGTCCTGGTGATGTTAGCTATAAACACTATCCAGTGCATACAATAGAGCACTAACCATCTGAGATGCCCTACATTTCACTATTGCATAATCTCGAGGGGCAGTATTCTGCAATTCCAACTCCTTAACTCGAGTAGAAGCATGCATTCATAAAAGGATAAGGATCAACCGACGAAGCTTATATGTCATACTGGGCGCGGTTTGTTGACTGCTTTCTGCATAAAAGCATAACAGACTTGCTTGCACGCGTTAGTAGCTTCTATGCGTCCCTATTATTAAAACTTTTAGAACATTTTGCCTTATTGATACCGGCGCTCAAAATGTCAACATAAATTGAACCCTGATGTCAATGCCCTCTATAGTTGACCTTCCACTCAAGGTCAATTTGCAAAAACAGCGAAGCGGTGCGAACGGGTTGTGTATTGGAGAAAGAACGTATACATGGTACAGTCAAACCCGCATTATTGCTCACCATCGGGACATTGCAAATTTTGGCAATAAAGCGGGGTGGGCAAATAACCGATATTCATTTTTTTGCTAAATGAAACAACCGTTAAATTATTGTACAGTATATCACTTGTATTGTACTGTGGTAAGGAGGATAGAATAGTATTTGTAACTAAAGCCTAAAAACTTTTATTCAGAAGAGCATGACCTATAATTTAAAAAGTATAACATATAGCATCTTACTTGGATAGCTACAGAAACTGGTGCTACTATATATTTTTGTTGAGAAAACAATAAAACGTCAGTTGTACATTATTTTGAGCTGTTACTCTAGTTACTTTTGCATTGATGAAGTCCAATTTGAACAAAAAGTCGTTGCCTGGCCCATGCAAATTCCGTAGCTATAGAGATCATTAACCCGCGACATGCGCTGATTGCTGTTACTCACGGAAGCCTCCGGCACGTCATCCGCTAAGTCGCTGCCTTCTTTCTGTTCTAGTCGGTTCGCTAAAATGTTACTGACGATTTCTTCTCCAACAGTTTTCCGATCTGAGGTGCATTCCACATCGTTGTCAGTGGCGACAAACTTTTCTGTGTTTATGACTGGGATTGTACAAGCGTTGATCTCGTCATCAGCGATGACGTCGTCATCAGAAGGTGCATCGGATGCCAGTTGACTGAAGCGAGCATGCCGAAAGCAAGGTCTTACTGTTGCAGCGGTAACATATCTCTAACTTTTTGAAACGAACTGAATTGCATCGAGCACAGTAGTCTTGTCCCAGACAACCACCGTCGACGATGAGTCAGACAACACATTGTTTTCGATGCGATAAAAAATTCGATACACAATTTCTTTTCCGTGACGGATTTTCAGATTCCTAATCACAGCTTGGTCCACGGGTTGACGAATGCTGCTCGTGTTTGCCGGCAAAAATGCCATTTGAATATTTCTTAGGCTTTCTACCTGTGGATGTACTGTGCAATTAACCAAGAGCGACATATTTGTTGGGCCACTTTGGCCTAGCTCCTTGTCCCATTCGACGACCCACTCGGTGAAGAGTTCTTTCGTTTTGCACACATTGTTAGCCCTGTAGAGTACGCAATGTGTGTCCACGTTTACGCCATTAAAACAGTGGTTTCTTACTTTTCCAATCAAAAGCAGTTTCCTTTAATTCGTGCCTGACATGTGATCCTATCCATAGCTTTTTCGATCCGATGAGCTAGTCAGTAGGAAAACACAAAGTGCCCCTCTGGAGTTGCTCGGTAACAAAGAGCTGTTTCGTCTGCATTGTACACACTGTCATCATCACATGCATTTAGAAGTTCAGGCAGTCAATCTTTCAGCCAGCTTTCACAGAGTGCTCTGTCCGCGGAACGCTTTTCGCTATGCACACGTTTATACACAATTTGGTTTCTATTCTTCCATCATTCCAACCATCCTTCTGTGACAGCAAAACTGTTTCCAAGTCTTCCCCGAATGCCGCTGCCTTTTCTTCAGAAGCGGGTCTGTAACTGTTTGGTTGTGCCCACGAACCGATATCATCTAATCCTTCAATGCAGTTCCAACATACATCGTTTCCCCATCGGTTCCTTTTCTGAGAGCTTGTAGTGCCATGTGAAATTTTCCCCGAGTTCCTTTTCTCTGGCATCCAACCTGACTAGGGTGCGTCAATAAATGTGCAAATCACATGACAAGTTGGCCTACGAGGTTCCGGGAGGATAAGTTTGAATGTTATCCAAAACGTTCAGCTATTTCTGTCAAGGACAAATCCTTTCTGTTACTGGCCATCCTTATGTGTACAACAGAGTACTGACAATGTGAAGCGGAAAGATTGTCTGACTTTGCTCAGTGCCCGAATTTTGAATAGGCCGAGGGCTTGCGCACAGTCGTCAGTACATTTAGTTTGACGGTGTAATGAATGACGTAGGTAGCCTTTCCTGATCTGCCAATAACGACGTCGGCATCTTTGTTCCAGTTGTACCGATCGGAAAAGCTGGCTGTGGGCTAATCGTAATAAAAGAGTAGGAGCAGCGGCGTAAAATTGACAAAGCGACAAGAGCACAGCGTACGCAGCTGGGCAACTAAGCGGTGGGACGACCCCGACAATGGACAATTAGACGGTGAAAATTTAACAGATTTATGATTAAAAAACCTGTATTTTGGACAACTTGGCAATAAAGAGGAGTGGGCTATAAGCCGGATGGGTAATAATGCGGGTTCGACTGTATCACATTTCGAACAGAACAGTCGGACTCATTTGCACACTTCATTCGTGGTGCCATTTGACTCTATGCTATCGACTCTATCGACTCATCTTGCCGTGACGTGACCGTATTGGTTCAACGCTCTAGCGCCATCCATTTTCATGGCTTGTTGAATTGTGCACACGTACCCGTCGGTCGCAGTGATCCATTACTCGTCGAGTTCATCGCGCCTGCTCGTTTCAGCATACTACTCATTAGTTGTTCACCACAAATGGACCATGGAACCGGATTAACAGATGAAGTATTCTACTGCTATTACCCACATCACCGATGAGGTAATTATGAGTTGGAGTGCTCAACATTGAATACCAGGGAAGAATGCTGAATGAGTTACAGGACAGATCTTTAGTGTCCGTAATCTATATTTTCTGAACAACGCATAAAAGGTTTTTTGGAAACTGGGCTCAAGTAACAACAGTCCCAAATTGTGGCTACCCCATTTAATGCAGTTGTACTGGGATGAGTAGAGGCATAGAGCTACAGCGAGTCTTCCTGTAGACACGGATCCAGCGGAAAGCAGAAGTTTGCTGAACATGGAAAGGTGCACCGCTCAGAAGGAACGTTGCGCAAAATATACAGGTACAAAACGATTTGCAACGCCCAGAAAGAAGCTAAGTGGTTTTATTGCTCAGGCTAGTAAAGCCCCATTTTTCTCCTCCTCCCCGAACATCGATACAAAAGCGGATAAGTAGATCGTTTTGTCAGGTGAACCAATTTGTATGTTGACCCCAGTGTTCATCCTGGCCTATACGTGAAATCTGTAGCTGCACCTTATCCTGAGTAGTGTTGTATTAACCTTTTTATACGCCCTTCAAACTGTTGTTAAGGACTGCTAAGATTGCTGAGCTGCAGACCATGAACAACGAAGGTGGTAGCCCAAATTTAAAATAGTTTGACCGCGTTTTACTCCTTCGAGTGCACATCACTGAAGAGTTAGAGATACCAGTGAAACACAAACAATGGCACATTATATTTACCCTAGGCTGGTTCATTAGTCAGCTGACGAGATTGAAGGAATCCAATCGCTGCTAGGTTCCCCAACATGAAAAAGAAGACTAGGGTTGAGTCGCTTCATGATGACCGAAATACCGAACTTGCTGACCAGTCGAAAGAAGCTGCCGATTCCCTCGCGGTATGAATGTCACGAGGTTGACTAGTTCTTTTGAGAGAAACATAAGGTGTAGCACAACTGAGGCATCCGCTTCGCGAATCTGCAATCACCAGCTGCTCACAAGGTTAGACATAGTGCCACACGCAACATCAATTCCAACTCACTGGACAGGAAATTCCTGTGGCCAAATGATAACGGACTCCCGACCACACACTATGATGATGTTCACAGATTGATTGGGATTGATAATCAGAGTCATTGAAAAGGGTATACAACGCGGCAGAACTACATTTGCTCACGTCGACAAAACTGTTGCCTGTGTCCGACATACCGACGAGATTCGATTTTAGAAATTTAGCTGTAACTGTGGAGATGCCTGTTATGTTTGGCGTAGTGACCGAAGTTTATGTGTCTTACTCGTTAAGCACATTTCAAAGCGATAACGCAGTCGAAGGCGAACTGTGCTGACGGAATGGGGTGAATCCAGCAATCACAAGGCATTTTCTGAGCACTGGCTACTAGGCCAACCCGGATGAGCCATTCACCGACATGGTGCGTAGTCACGCTGTTAGAAACTATCGTTATTAATCGAGAACGGTCGCAGCTCTACGTATGGGAATCGCTATGATTCTACCCTGGTAGCGCGAAGTATGCTGATTGCCGCTACATTGCATTCTCTGCCATTATGTGCATGCATGTATGAAATGGCGGTCTTCTCATATATTTCGTCTCTGGCTTTTCCTATTTGGAACCATAAAGGGAATTTTATGTTACATAATATTCGTTTGAGTCAACTATGACGAGTACTCCGTTCTCCTGGGGCTCACCGGCAATCTATAATGTTCCCAACCTCACGAACGGTAATCCACCTAAATGAGCTAAATGAGCCATGCGCTGATCGCCTGTATAATGGTATCTGGTTGCCTCCAGCACAGCTGTGCTGCATTGCACCAGCTGTGGGTGTCCATTGTCGTTCGCGCTCAACAACTGTCATCTTCCAGTGTTAGCACAGTAGCCTCGATGGCTTTCAAGTTAACTATAAGAATAAAGAAGAATGCACACAGTCTTCAAACATAAATCTTCGACAAATTTTCTTGGGCTGTCGAGAAACACAGTGAATGTTGTGTTTCTCGTACTCAAGGTTTGCATAACGAAGCGACGAGATTGGGAATAAAACATCCAAAACCGCAGAATGTGTAACTATAAGTCTTCACAAATTGCCTCATTCCTTCCACGAAAAAGTCACTAAAGTTTCAGATGTTGAAACAGACTCTTCGTGCGAGGACATGACATCTAGATGACAGACCACCTGATGAAAAAGTGCGCATTCCATATCGATCAAAGGGTTACACTACTTAGATTGGATTAAGAGAGCTGTACCACACGAATAGTGGGAAATACCTTGAGGTTACTTCAGATTCGCTAGTGGCGTAAATTTAATAACGTCAACTCGACAGGGCTCTAGAATCAACAGCATTATAGCAGTTCAAAATGGACACCGTAGTTGAAATGTGGTCCACTCATAAACCGCACAGGTCACCCCACCTGCGCAGGATTGAACCAGCGACCTGTGGATTACAAGCGAGAAGTCTTATCCACCCGGTCATTAGCCGATGTGATGTAGTCATGCTGGTAAAATCGTGGGTGTACTAATTGCGTAAATGCTTGACAGAAAACACTAACGTGTTTGCAAGCACATTTTCCAAATTACTGGCGAATTCTATAAACAAATTCCACTCAAGAAGGTGGCGAATCAACGGAGTGAGCGAGTCAATATTTGTCCAGATACGTCAACAAGCGTGTTCAAGACGAAGATCTGCAGAGTTGGCAGCACGAGCAGTAGAACACGGAAGGCTTGGTATGAGTAGCAAGTGGGAGCCAGTACTTGCTGTGAACTTTAAATAAGACTGTAACTTACACGTCGAAATACGGTCACAAAAGTAAACCGAATAGGCAGAACTACTTCTCGCATAACCAAATGAGTAGGCATTACGTTGACTAGTCAGAAGGTTGTCCCTTAATGCGGTTCTTGGCGAATGCAAATGCAGATGACCGATAGGTACTTTTAAAACTTGCCTGTTCCAACAGGTTGGTCGTCACGGTACCATTCAACCTGTAGCGTTGCATCACTTGTGGGCACAAGTTGAGCTTCGATACGAACCGGTTGTCCTTCCTGCACATCGGAACTACTGATAACCGGTTGCTGGGAAAACTGAGGCACCGACTTGGGCTGCGTACGTTGGTCGCGTTCGTATTCTTTGGTAGGGGCGGAAGTCGCCTGGTACATTGCTGCCCATTGGGCCTCCTGTTCGTCTTGACCTGGACCGATCTCCGCCAGAACGCTGTGATGGCGCAGAAACGCAGCACAAAAACTGGGTGAGCATGCCGTTCCAAGGGATGAGAGTGTATCAAGTACACGACAATTAATCAGCAGTTTTGTTTAGGTTTGCTAAAACATGGGTGTCACGAACAATTATGATCCAGATAGGGTTCGCAATCCCATACGGGTTATGTGGTTACTAAAGCACACCTGAGAGCGATAGTGCGATGATAGCAGATACACAGTTTAACTAAAAGCTGCCGGGAAATAAGCTCATCTCATCAGGAAACAGCTTCATTTGAACGCTCGCGTATATCGTGTTGTTAATAACTGAGCTAATACGCTGGAGCAGCTGGTACAGTAGTGTGCCAGTAGAAGCAAAGATAGATTGCCAAGCATACTGTAGGCCCAAAAATAAAAGAAACAAATTGCAGACTAGACGTTCTAGGATGGAAAGAGATTTCACACTAATGTCCCCCAGTAGAAGAGCTCAATGGAAACAGACGAGAGATCGAGTAAATCATGGAGCGCTTCATTCAAAGAAGACTATCGTGACAGAATATTGCAATTTTGTGAAGTCGAAGCGCATGATGAAGCCTTAAAATGTGGTTAATGCATGTCTAATCTTAACCGGAAAAGAAACCAGTTTGTACAAAGCTGTATGCCCAGGGGAGTAGTGAACCATCGCAGTACGACGAACTTGACAAGTCGAGTGAATTGGTGACTACACACCAAAGATTTGTACAACCTCTTTTTCCGAAGATGAGAGTAATACCTAACGATCGCTTCTGTAAGCCACTGCCCTTTCAGATCCAATGTCAATGAATCACTGCTTCCATCCGGAGACGAATTAAAAGATCGCTGGCGTGAAGTATCTCCTCCCACTTCAGCGTGATCAGTTCAGATTGCATCATATCGCCCCCACATCTTAGGTGAGTTCGGGCGGCCAATCAGGCAAGTGACATAGTACGCCGATTGAATGGATGTTGAAAAGGTTGAGCCATGCGTCTAAGTGGATAGCCTAAGGAGTGGAGAAATAATCCAAGCTTTTGGCGTCTCGTCCCCGAAGTCTTTCCTGTGTCTGTTCGCCAGGATGAGTTGAACACGCATTGGGCCACTTCCATTGGACTAGTCTTCCTGTTTCAGCAGCCTCAATCATCGTTCGAAACTCCGTCTCAAAGCATAAAATCTAAATAGATACTATCTCAAGATTTTTCGAATATGCTGACCTCCCCTTCTGAAGACAACGATCTCAGGTGTTTCGACTTACTTGAGGCCTCAAGCTAAGAGGATAAGTGAATTCAACTGGCTTCTTTACATTGTCACTGGGGCGATCGCACGATAGTGCACAAGTACCGCGTTCGCCAGTAACAAGTGAACCAGCAACTCAAATGCCGTAGACCAGTAAGGAGTGTCATCGCAGTCACGTACATCCTGGACGATGAATATGTTGACGACGACGATTATGTTCATAATAATAATAATAATAATAATAATAATAGTAATCGTATTCATCAGCAGCGGTAGTAGCACAGCAGCAATGCTTGCCGGTGCTGCGAAGCCGTCAATTATAAGGGATAGGCATAAAGCGACAATAGAGAAAGTGAAGTGGGGATCATGATGTAGCCCACTGAGAATGCAGAAAGAAAAGCTGGGCTACGATCCTGAGTCTGTTAAACACAAAACGGCACGCAATTTAGATGGTACAACATCATAAATCACATATTCACAGCTTCACTGACGAGCTGATGGTCTCACAGTTGCCGCTGTGTCAGGGTTTCGGTCACGTGGCGTGCGATGGCTCTTGCTACACACGGCCTGGCGATGTCGCGGCTTACGCTGACGCTTCCGCTGACTGTGCCATTCAGGCAAGTCGCGTACGGTAACCAGCTGTTTTAATTCCTAGCCCCGCACCACAGGGATCAGCACGTAACCTGATGCTAATGAGGAGGCCCCCAGAGTTGACACGCATACTCCCTGATAACACCGTAGTGAGGAACAACTCGTCCTCCGGTGAGGATAAGGTGACCTCTGCGATACAGCTTTCGTTGGGCCTACACTGTTTCACTTCATAAACAACTTTGCTCTACATGTGCCTTGCAGACACACCCTTCATAGCCGGGATCAAATTAGGAAGCAAGGTGGATACGCCACTGGTACCCGTTGGCAGTCACATCCTATAATACCTGAGTAAACCATAAAGAGACTCACGTGGTCTATAGCGTGGGCGATAAGACGAACCGGATGAGTGTCACGCTGGCGCTCTGGTGGACGGTATTAAACCATGAAACAATCGTGCTCGTCCACCGTCGAAGATAATTCATGCTGCCATTGATACAAGCCGATCTAACTGGGTTTGTCGAGGGTATACTCTGGTTTCCAATAACAAAGTACGGGAGGAAGAATAGCAGCTAGCACATTCCATAGATTGTGATAGGGAAACTGAAAGTGTTCCTGACATGTAATAAATGGTTCAGTGGCATAAGCTACACCGTAGATACCTAGAAGGTGTCATCCAGTGTGTTCCATATGGCCGAGTGTGCGATGATGAAGTCAGGAATTTTGTATTGAAAACCATGTATATCATCTTCAGTAAGCTTAATCTGTGATGGTGTATGTACGCCGTGCTCCATTTGAATGTGGATGCGCACAACGAACGAGTGTTTTGGCCAGCCAACCGACTAGCGCAAAAAAACATAAAATCGATGATCACCTGACTATCTGCGGGATCTTGGCCTGGGATATAAGGAGGAAAAATGCTGCTAGTACACATTCGGATTCTGTGGATGAGCTGTGTACCAGACTAGTTTGATTAGAATCACTGGTCTAGAGATTCACAATTAGCAACGTTAAAATAAGATAGAAAGAAACATTTCCGGTATGGTGTCCCGATTCCAACGGTTTCATTGGCTCATTTTCTATGTTATATATATATTTATTTATTTATGCGTATGTAATGTGGGAGAGTCCATGGTGCGCTGAGACCTATGGTGGCTAGATCCTGAGAGATAGTTCACCCGCTGCTCCCAATGATGTGTCTTGGACACATGTCCTGGACACATCGTGGCGAACGCTGGGTGGGAATTGGGTTACACCCTTCTTCTAGCTAAGATCCAGAACACACATAACTCCGCGTGAGTCGGTTTACTGACTCATGGCGCAAAGCCCGCTGCATTTCGGGTGTACTATTTTCCAAGGCATTGGTTGAAGTGCTGAGTCGTTCTCGTGTCCAGGTGTGGATGTTCTGACAGTATCCAGTCCACAAACTAACCATGAATTACGCCTACACAGATAAGCTCATGATGTATGGGCCGTTGCGCAGTGACATTAGGAGAAGGGTCAGCTTATCTGCTGCGTACAACGAAGTGGATAAGCAAAATCATGCTAATGCCAGCGCTTCCTTTCTATCTTCTTCCCCTGCACATACTCTCCCCGTCCCCCTTTAAGCTAGCCAAGTAGTTCCTCCAACAAAGGCCGCCACGCGATCGATGGTCCGGCACCGCAATTGTGCGCCTCAGCGCAAAGCACTCAACATCGTGTGCTGGGACGTGCGCATATTACTTGACAGGCACACGAATGAGCTACCCGAGCGACGCGCTACACTGGACGCGATTCAACACGTGCGCTACGGGACCGACATTGTTGCACTCAATGAAACTCGGCTCGTTGCCTGAGGCAAGTTGCATGAGGCTGGTACTGGTTACACATTAAACTGGGTGGGGAACGCATTCGCAGCACTATCTGATCGCCTAAACGGTCAGTTTGTGGCAGAACTGATTGGCACCAGTTCACGACTGAGGACTCTCCGCCTGCGACTTTGAAGAGATAAGTTGGTCCCTTTCGTTAACACATATGATCCCACATGTGTTATCCTGATGGTATGAGGGATTAGTTTCACACTCAGTTGTTCTGCGTCATACGGTCTGTGCAGAGGAGGGATCGACCGTATCTACCACGCGATTTCAACGCGCGTGCTGAGTGTGATGCTGCGGTGTGAACGGACGTTATCGCACCGTATGGTATTGGCCCAGTCAAAGGGAGCCGGTGACTGGCTGTTCTCACACGGCCTAACGATCACGAACATACAGTTTGCACTGGGTGCGTGTTATACAGCAACTTGGACGCGCCCTTGAAGTGGTCACGTTCATTTGCTAAACTATGTCATCGCACGCCAGTGTGAGATGCGTGAGGCGCGCATTACATAGGTACTGCGTGCAGCTGAGTGTGATGCTGATCATAAGTTGGTGCGGACCAAACTGTACATAATTTTTCGTAAGTCTGTGTATTGCTCAACTGCCGTGAACCGGTGCCAATTTAAGGTTCAATCACTAGGTACTATTGAGAAGAGGATGGAACTGGAGAATGCGATGGCTAACGGCCTTGACAATATAGAAACGCATCGGCTCAGCGAGTGACCTGTGGCACCACATCGTGATCAAGTGACGCATGAAGCAGTGCAGAAGACCGAGCACATAAACCGTAAGCGGCCCAATTGGTTTGACTACAACAGTGCAACCATTAGCGCATTGGTATCGCAGAAGAATGCAATGTTCTCTACGCATGTGGATAACCCTATCGATGTACAGAAGGAGAGCCATTTTCACAAATTTTGACAGTGATTGAATGATAGCTCCGTCGCATCAAGAATGCATGGTGCACGAAGAAGGCGAAGCAGATGGAATGCTATACTGAACGCCACCAACACAAGGAATTCTGTACCTGAAGGCGGTGTATGGACCAACGCTGCAGTCACTGAGGACGATACTCAGGGCTACTTCAGGCGCTGCCTGCACACAGACTGCAGAAATAACACAGATCTCTCGAAGGCACTTTGATTGTCACTTGAACAATCGTCCGGAGATTGATTGGGCCATGTTGCAAGGGGTGCAACAGCAAGAGATGATGTATCATGCAGACACACTGACACTGGATGAGAGGCAGAGAGCACTTGCACAGCTGCGAAACGACAAGTGTGCCTGTGCCGATTGGATTCCGCCAGAATTGCCGAAACATGGCGCAGCC